TGCAAAAATCCTCAATAAATTTTAGCTATCAGAATCCAACAGTGTATCCATAAGGTAATTCACCACGACCAAGTAGGATTCATTCCAGGGACACAAGGATGGTTCAACATCCGAAAATCAATCAACGTTATCCAACACATCAACAAAAAGAAATATAAAAACCATATGATAATATCAATAGATGCTGAGAAAGCTTTCGACAAAGTGCAACACCCATTCATGATAAAAGCCCTTGAAATTCTTGGGATACAAGGAACATACCTCAACATCATAAAGGCCATATACGACAAGTCAACAACCAGTATCATTCTCAATGGTGAAAAGCTGAAAGCATTTCCATTAAGATCTGGAACAAGACAAGGATGTCCACTCTCACCACTGCTTTTCAATATAATACTGGAAGTCCTAGCCAGAGCAATAAGACAAGAGAAAGACATCCAAGGAATCCAAATAGGAAAAGAAGAAGTCAAACTATCACTATTTGCAGATGATATGATAATATACATACAGAACCCCAAAAACTCCATAGAAATACTAATTGAACTCATCAATCAGTTCAGCAAAGTGGCAGGATACAAAATCAACATGCAAAAGTCAGAAGCCTTCCTATACACTAACAATAAATCTGAAGAAGAAGAAATGAAAAAAACCATCCCCTTTATTATCGAAACAAAAAAAAAAATCAAATACTTGGGAATAAATCTAACAAAAGAGGTAAAGGACCTTTACAAATAAAACTATAAAACACTGTTAAATGAACTAGAAGAAGATACAAAGAAATGGAAAGACATCCCCTGCTCATGGATTGGAAGAATAAACATTATTAAAATGGCCATCCTACCAAAAGCAATATACCGATTCAATGCTATTCCAATAAAAATTTCAATGTTATTCTTCAAAGAAATAGAACAATTATTGATAAAATTCATATGGAATTACCAAAAACCCCGAATAGCCAAAGCTCTCCTGAAAAAAAAAAGAAGGGAATGGAGGCATCACACTCCCAGATTTCAGGCTATACTACAAAGCCATAATCATCAAAACTGCATGGTATTGGAACAAGAACAGACACACAGACCAATGGAATCGAATAGAAAACCCAGAAATAAACCCACAGATTTATGGTCTACTAATATTTAACAAAGGAGCAAAGAATATGCATTGGAGCAAAGAAAGTCTGTTCAATAAATGGTGCTGGGAATACTGGGCCGCTACATGCAAAAGAATGAAGCTTGACCACTACCTCACACCATACACAAAAACCAACTCAAAATGGATGAAAGAACTAGACATAAAACCTGAAACCATAAAATACATAGAAGGAAATATAGGCGAAACACTACGTGATTTGCACCTCAAAGACATCTTTACAGACACATCACCCAAAGCAGTGATAGTGAAGGCAAAGATAAACAGCTGGGACTACATCAAATTAAAGAGCTTCTGCACAGCAAAAGAGACAATAACAAAAACAAAGAGAAACCCCACCAACTGGGAGAACATTTTTGCACACAACACTAATGATAAAGGATTGATCACAAAAATCTGCAAAGAGCTGATGAGACTCAACAACAACAAAGAAAATAATCCAGTCAAAAAATGGGCAGAAGAGCTAAAAAGAAACTTCTCTGAAGAGGAAATGCAAATGGCCAACAGGCATATGAAAAAATGTTCAACATCACTTGTAATCAGGGAAATGCAAATCAAAACTACCATGAGATACCATCTTACACCAGTGAGAATGGCACATATTAAAAAAACTAGCAACAACAAATGTTGGCGAGGGTGTGGAGAAAAAGGAACTCTTCTGCACTGTTGGTGGGAGTGCAAACTAGTCCAACCACTATGGAGAGCTGTGTGGAGATTTCTGGACCTACTAAACATAGAGCTTCCATATGATCCAGCAATTCCACTCCTAGGTATTTACCCAAAGGACACAGAAACATCCATTCCAAAGAACACCTGCACCCCTATGTTTATAGCAGCACTATTTACAATAGCTAAGCTTTGGAAACAGCCCAAATGCCCAAAAATAGATGACTGGATCAAGAAGATGTGGTACATATATACCATGGAATACTACTCAGCATTCAAAAAAGATAAACACATGCAATTTGCAGCAACATGGATGGCGCTGGAAGGGATCATGCTCAGCGAAATAAGCCAGAAAGAAAAAGAAAAATACCGGATGGTCTCACTCATAGCAGGAATCTAGAAAACTTAAATAAGGGACCAGGAAAATGAATAACTATAAGAAAGTGAAAATCAAAATCAACAAAAATCTATGAACCAGAGACACTTTTGGGGGGGTGGGTGGAGGGAGGGGAGGGATTGGTGTCAAAATGGGGGGGTTGAAATTGTATGGTGAATATAAAAATAAAATTTATTATAAAAAAAAAAACTAAATTGCTAAGCAAAAAAAAAAAATAAAGTACTTAAGTAATAAACAAACAAAAAAAAGGTATAATGGACACCAGCCTTTGTACCTCTGAAGGCTATTTATCTTTTGAGGAGAGGAGATTGGATACTGCATTGCCTTTGCTAGCATCAGCATGTTTTTAGATTGGGAAAATTTAGAGCTGGAAACCCTTCCAATCAAGTATAACTACAGTCTTAATGTCTGTGACTCATTGTTTCTAGCTATATAAACTAAATTCGAACTTATGTTTATTAGGAACAGTTCTTGCAGAGTAAGTTCTGTTTGGGCTGCTTCTCTGGTTTGAATCCACACTTTGATTATCTAATAAACTCTTCGTCTGACAAAAAAAAATATAGAAGACCTCTATAGAATAACATTAAATCTACTGAGACATAAAGAAATGGACATGAATAAAGAGAGAAGTAAATTATGATCTTTGAAGAAACTCTTGACATTTATAAATTTTCTCCCAAATTAATCTATAATTTCAATTCATTCACAAAGAAATTCCAAACAAGATTTTATAAATTATATATGGAAAGATAAATGTTTAAATGATTAAGGCATAGCTACAACAAGTCTGAAATAAGAGAAGCAAAGAACAAAGATTTGTCATACTTGATATTAAGGCAAATTACAAACCCTTAATAACTGAAACAATGTGCAACTGGTAAAGGAATCAAATAGGCAATGGAAGAAAATGGAGTCCAATAATGGACTCATGTGTACATATAGGAACTTGGTACATAAGAAATGTGGTAATACAAATCAGTATAGGAAAGAAGAGATAATTTAAAAATGGAGCTGGGAAAATTCTACTTGTAGAGATATGCACAGAAATAAAATCAGATCCTTTCTTAGAGCATATACAGAATAAATACAAACCATATTAATGACCTGTCAAAAAACTATATGAAAATCTAGAAAAAAATCTTTATAACCCAGTGATAGGAAAACATTTATTTAAAAAGATCCCAAGAGCACATACCATGAAAGCAAATTTGGATGGGTTTGATAATACCAAAATGAATATTTTTTGGTTAGGGGTAAAGCATACTGATTTTTGATGCATATACTTGGAAATGCATCAAAAAGGATGAATAAATGGATGACTATAAATGGACATATGGTTATATGGGATAAAACAAATGTAGAAAAATATTAATTACGGAATGTAAGTGGAGGTTATGTGGCTGTTCACCGTAATTTTCTTCCAACTTTTCTGTATGTATGAAGTAATTATAATAAGATTGGTGAAAATTATATACTTTTGTTTAACAAAGGATATTGTACATAAAGATTTAAAACATTTTGACCGACTGGAATAGATAATTGATAGACACCACACACATCTATAGATACTTCTATCAGCAAGAAAAAGACAAGTAATATAAAATAAAACTTGCAAAGTAGATAGGCATTTCAGAAAATGAGGTAACAAATATATGTATAAAATAGAATATCAACCACATCTGTAGCCCAAAAAAACAAATAAAAATAAAAGATACTAATTGAAACCCACTAGAATGGCAAAAATTAATAAATTATATGATATCATTATGGACAAAATACAGGACTATAAATTACTACAAGTATACTCTAGAGCAATCTGGCAGTATTTGGTGAAAAGCCTGTATGCATATTTTACATTATCCAAGAATTCTACTCTTGAGTTTATATTTCAGATAAACTGACACAGGAACAGAAAGAGATATCTGTGAGGATATTATCTGCAGCACTGGTTGTAATAGCCAAGAACTAGAAACAAGAGTTTATCAATCAATAAAAGAAAAATACCAGATGGTCTCACTCATAGCAGGAATTTAGAAAACCTAAATAAGGGACCAGGAAAAAGACTAATTATAACACAGTTAAAAATCAAAATCAACAAGCAACTATTAACCAGAGACACACTATGGGGAGGGGGAGGAGGGAGTAGGATCAAAGCAAGGTGGGTGGGAATTGTATGGGGACTAAAACCAAGATGAAAATGCATACATTGTGCAAAAATGAAAAATGATATAAAATATATAAAATTAAAAAAATAAACTAAAAAATAAATAAATAAATAAAATACTGTGACATTAGTATTTGATGGAATATAATCCAGCAGAAAGGAAAGAATAAACATGAATAAATCTCAAAAGCAACAATGAGTGAAAAATGTAAGAAATAGAATGAGCTTTATCACACAATATCTTTCATGCTAAAAAACAAGAAAAAAAACTCTACACACATAAACATTACAGACTGTGCATTGATATATATATGCTTAAATAAATATATGGAAGATGGTTTGGAAGGATACATAACAAATACCCGAATTGATAACTATGGTTAGAGAGAAGGGAACTGGATAAGGAATGAAGACTGAAGAGGACAAAAAACAAATAAAAAAGACGGATTATGTATGGACAGATGACAGAGACCGAGGAGACCGTTAAAACAATTTGTGTTTCTGAAGTCAGATAAACAGAAAACATAAATTTCACTCATTAACACCATAAAAATACTTGCATAAAGAAAATGTCAAACAAGTAAAACAGAAATGAACTTTCCACCTCCCTACCACATGGCTTACCGAAGTACACAGCACATGAGCAGCAGATGGGTGGGGACATTAGCTGGATTGAGCATACTGGGTGTGTCTGACTTCATACAGGCCAGGAAGGCCCGCATCCTTCTGTTCTTGTCCTCAACTGCTTTGCCAAGCCAAAGCTTCTTGAGGTTCGGACAAGTCCATTCCCGAAATGTCAGTGCAGATACCAGCTCAGGGGTCTGAGGTGACTTTCCTTTATAGGCAGACCACTCTTTCAGGATCACTGAAGGAACTGGAAAATAGAAATTAAAGAAAAACAGGCTCTAGAGAATCTCTGAGGATTTCTCAGTTGGCCACATTAATAGGATCCATCACATTTCATCATTTTTTAGTTGTTGCTATAATTTTTACTGTAAGCAATAGTAACAGCAAGAGCAGGACACATTTATTGGATGCTTGGTATATATAAGTACTTTACATATAAATACAAATTTCATTTACTCCTCATAACAGTCCTGAGAAAGAAGTATGATTACATTATCACAAAGCATAGTGTTCATTTTGCGGATGAAGAAATCAAGGATCAACACAATTACTTTGGAGCTCATTTCTTAAGCAAATGTACTAGGCTAAACAACAAAAGGAAATTAACAAAATCCCCCCAAACTAGCATCTTTTAGATTTAAGAAGGTGTAACAAACAAGGAAAACATGGGTTCTATCTATTTCTAGTGTACCTTAGGTTCCTAAGTCTCTTATACTTAAGACACCTAGTATTAATTAGCCAAGATAGAAACCTGGGAGTTATCCCAGAGTCCTCCCTCTCCTTCACCTTATACACATCTGGCTATTTCTCAAATCTTGCTGATTCTACTATCTTTTCATTCCTCGTCTCTATCTGTATCCTTTTCTTCATCACAACAAATACTATAAGGTTCAGTTCTCATGATCTTTCACCTGACCAGTCTCCAGACTGTTGTCTCTGCCTTCATCCTGTCCAGTCCCCCTCAGGCCCATGCTCCACACACTACAGTGCTCTTTAAAATAAAAAAAAACAAACAAACTTTTTAGTTTTATAGATTCACAGGCAGTTGGAAAGATAGTAGAGATCCAGTGTATCCTTTACCCAGTTTTGCCTAATAATTATAATACAATATCAAAGCGAGTAAATTAACATTGGTACAACTGTGTGTATATCTTTATGTCATGTATAGATTCATGTTAACCACTACCAAAATTAAGATACAGAACTTTTCCATCACCACAAAGATCTCCCTTGTGTAATCTCCCTTTTATGATTACACTCCAGCACTATCCTTAATTCCTGCAACCACTAATCTATTCTCAATCTATACAATTTTGTCGATTTGAGAATGTCATATAAATGGAGTCATACATTATAATCTTTTCAGTTCGGCATTTTTACTTGGCATAATGCCCTTGAGATACATCCATGCTGCTGCACATGTCAATAGTTCATTCCTTTTTTATTTTATTTTATTTTTATTTTTTTTTTTTGCTGAGTAGTATACCATGGATGCACTACAGTTAGCCATTTACCCTTTGAAGGATTGTGTGGTTTCCAGTTTGGGTCTATTATGAATAAAGCTGCTATGAAAATTTGTGTTCAAGTTCCTACATGAAAATAAGACCTCATTTCTCTGGGGTAAGTGTCAAATAGTGGGGATAAGTACTGGGTGGTGTGTTAAGTCTTTTTTTAGTTTTGAAAGGAACTGCCAAATTATTTTCTAGAGTGGCAGTACCATTTTGGATTCCCACCAATTTGTGAGGGATAATTTCTCAATAGCCAATCCAGAATGCAGTATTATCACCATTCGTCACTTTAGACATTTTGATAGATATGTTGTGATACCGCACTGTGACTTTAATTTGTATTTCTCTAATGGCTAATGGCGTTGAACATCTTTTCATGTCTTTGTCATGTGTATATCTTTAGCGAAATGTCTGTTGCTGATTTTCTAACTGGATTCTTAAATAATGTTGTTTTGAGAGTTCTTTGTATATTTTAACTCCTACTCTAGATATGCAGGACTTAGGCACCTACAGATGTCCACTTGATCCAGTACCTTTTATTAAAAAGACTATCTTTCCTCTAATGAAGTGCTTCAGGAGCTTTGTCAAAAAACAGTTGATTGTAGTTGTGTAAGACTGTTTCTGGATTCCCTACTGTTTCTTAATCTAAGTGTCTGTAACAGTTAATACAATTCAGCAATATAATAAATCTTATAATTAAGTAGTGATTACTCCCAATTTATTATTCTTTTCAAAACTGTTTTAGATATTCTAGTTCCTTTGTCTTTCCATTTAAATATTAGAATAATCTCGTGTTTAGCTATAAAGAATCCTACTGGGATATAAACAGAAAATGCATTAAACTTGCATATCAAGTTGGGGAGAAATAATTTTTTTCCCAAGACAAACTGTATCCAGCTTTTTATAAACAATTATGGTTATATCATACAGTTAACAGTATATAACAACTTTCTAATTCCCCTCTTCAATGGACTACCAAAATCAGAAAGCCACTATAAAACCCAAAGAAGTGTTCATTTGATGTTTTGAACAGGGAAAGTTTAGAGTGAATGTTGACATTTCACATTTAGCATATTTAACAACTTTTCATAAGTTGACCCTGAATTTTAGGTAATGAAATGAAAATGGCAGATTTATCAATTTGAAGATCCACAATCAAAAAAGGATCTGCTGCTTTTTGAGGGATGCCATCTCAATGGTGACAATGGCAAGTCCAGATTGCTTGTCATACTGGTAGCCACCTTTTTGTAGTCAGGTCTCAAAATGGTTCTCTGAGTTTAAGGGAGTCAAGTCTATGTTGAAGACAGAGAGGGAGAAGAAGACATAGAAATGAATTTTAGTTTTTCCATACAAGGCAGCTAATGTGTGTCAACATTAAGGAATCCCTTCTCCTGGGAACCAAGAGGAAGTCTCTCAAAAGTGGAGAGGAGGGCCTCCCCTGGTGGCACAGCAGTTGAGCGCTGGGTTGCGAGGCTGCCCGCAGCCTCTACAGTGCCAGTTCGATCCCCAGCCACCAGTGAGGGTCCCACAAAAAAAAAAAAGTGGAGAGGAAAGGTTCCATCTCTCCACCTTCCACATTAATCCAGCTTCAGAGACATTCTATTAGTGACATATGTCCTTTTGCAAAGAACTATGGGCTAACAAAGCAGCTTTAAAAAAGGTAAAACAAAATTATACATTCCTATAATACTTGATAAAAAATAGTACTATACAGTCACCAGTACAGTTATCAAAAATGCACACAATTCACTCGGCAATTCCAGCACCTTCAGCATTCTGTGCTTGGTCTGTCTGGGCATCTCAATTTTCTGCAGGGTTAGTCCCATCCTTGCCACCATCGCAGCCTTACCCTTTTTTTCCTTTAGGTAGCATCTCTCCTTTGTTTGTAGGGGCTCTTTTAG